ATGTGCCAGGTACTGGAGCCACAAACAGGATTAAGACACATTCTGTGCTCTAGAAAAATGATAGGTCATTTCAATGCTGTGGTCAGTGCAGATAAATACTCTCAACAGTGGCACAAATAGAGTACCTGCGCCAGCTGGGGAAGGAGTTGGCAGAGGCTTCCTGAAGATGGTGATTGTTGTGAAGGTGAGCTTAGAAGATAAACAGCATTCCAGGAGAGTGAGCATCATGATAAAACATAGTGTGAACAGCGAGAAGCACGTAACAATGAGGGCTTGGTGTAAACTGCAACAGAGGAGGATTAGGAAAGATATGTGCCTGCTCAGAGTCCCTTGTGGCCCAAAGACACTTTCTGCAGTTAACAGGTGGCCCCACAAGGTCAGGATGCTTGAGATCTGTGTGCTAGAGAAATCTGGAAAGTCACATTAAGGGGCAGAGACTGGGTGGGCGCTTGGCTCAGGAGTGATTGGGAGAGTGGACAGATCTGAGAAATCTCAGGGGAAAATTAGTAGCACCTGATGATTGCCTGGACAATGGGGAAGAGTGAAAGGAAGAAATCAGAGATATAATTCCTCATGTTGCCCCTTTGCACAGCTGCTCCTAAAGCACATGATCCCTTTCATTTTAAGAGTTTTAATTCAAGTGCCCGCTGGAGATGAAGTCCCTTTGATTCTGATCTAGTTAATCAAATTCACAAAACAGACTATAATATGCAAGCTCTAGGCCAAACCAATTGGAGTTCACAATGTCATCTAAGTCCAGCAGTTCCCAGTGGAAGCTTTGGTTCTAAAAAATCCACCTGTACTTGCCATTCTTTGTGGAGAACCAGTAAATGTTTGGGTACTGACTCACCTTGGTTGGAGGTGGAGCCTACCTCCCACAGGGTAGATGAAGTCAGATGTCCTTCCTAGACTTCCTTGCAGCCACTTGACATGTCAAGAGCATCAACTCTAGGCTTTGTGAGTCAGATATATCTACCAGAGTCCAAAGTATTGGTCTAAGAAGAACTTCCTGTGACAGAAAGCAGTAGTTGCAGGGGAGATCAAATTCTCCTAAGAGCCACAGTGGACCCTCTCAGGGACTTGCAAGTATCAGGCCCTAAAACTGAAGCTTCATTACGATCATGGTAATTTGCTTCTGTTTATAGTAGACCATGACTAGTTCTTTAGTGTCCTATCAGTCCAGCAGCATACATAGCCAGGCACAGGAGGGGCTAGGAAAGCATAGATTTATTCAGAGAACAGCAAAGAAAACATCTTAGCTAGAACAGAGGCTTCTTTCACAGGTGGGGAAGACAGGGCTGAAGGGTTCTGAAAGCCCACGTGAGGAGTCTGGTCATCATCTTGTAAGAGGCACCAGCATTTTAAAACAAAATTTTATTTTGAAACAATTATAGATTTATAGAAAAGTTGCAGTTTCCACATACCCCCCACCGAGTTTCTCTTGAGGCTAGTATTTTATATTACATGGTATACTTGTCAAAACTAAGACGCTGACATTAGTATGTTACTATTAGCTAAACTCCAGACATGATTTGGATTTGGGTTTTACTAGTTTTCCACAAATGTCATTTTTCTGTTCCAGGATCCAATCTGGGATTCTACTGTGCATTTGGATATCAACTTTTAAAAAAATATTAGTATAAGAGGTGTTTGGGGAGGATCATCTGATAAGCAATATAAGAGTAAGCTAGAAACTGGGGTATGAAGGCATTTGTAAAGGCATTCCAGAATCTTTGGAGCTTCCAAATGCATTCCTATGTCCAGTGACTGAAGGGGCTTTCAAAAGTGCAGCTGTTGAGAAGAGAAAATCTGGGCCACTGTTAAGCATCACTGTACCTGCTGAGGGCCCCAACGGGTGAAGGCATGTTTAGGATGTATCTGGTAGCATGTGTGTGTGTGTGTGTGTATGTTTAGGATGTATCTGGTAGCTCGTGTGTGTGTGTACACTGTGGTAGGGGTAGTGGTGGGTAGGGATGAGAACTCTTGTGTCTACTGAGTATCAGAGACCCAGATAATGGTATCCAGAGATCTGTTAAGACTCTAGCTTTAAAAAGTCATCCTTCTGTCTGGCTTCAAAATAATCTGAGAGTGTGAGGTAGGTGATGGGTGAATCAAGATTGGTTATAAGGAGATAAATGAAGTGGGTGAAATTAAAAATTAGCTCATACTAAGAAAGTAAAAGGCTGCCCTGCTATTCACCAGACTGTAGGGACAAAGGTGAAGCCACCTACAAAGTTACCATGAAGCAATATTTCTTCCAAGGGCAGCAATAGCTTAAAAGTGTCATGATGATCCCCTTCTTTGTATGATTACTGCATTCTTCCTCCCACCCACCCCGTAAATCTGGGTTTGAACTCAGGGCTTCATGCTTGTAAGGCAGGCACCCCACAGCTTGAAGCCATGCCTCCAGCTCTACTGCTTTCTCACTCACTGGGAAACCTTGTTCTTTACAAAGAAAGATTACCAGAAACTTGGCTGTTTGAATTTTATCAATTAAATATGAAATAACACAGGCTGATCTAAGTCATTTTGACAGAGAGGAGTGTTCCTGACTTCTAGCCCAGGTTCACTGCTTCAGAGAAGGGGCTTCTGAACACAATATTCCACTTTTGTACTTTCTAAGGAAATGGAACTGGGTCTACTTCATTGTTCAAAACAGCTGTTGATTCTTTTATACACAGCCCTGCTTTGCTCTGCACCTATCCCAAATACTGCTGTAAGTTTCACTTAACTACCCTTCCTCAAAATCCTTCAACTTCATCTTTTCCTGGTTAGTGAGACACCCCACAGTTCCTGTTTTATGGTCTCCCTTGTTGCAACAAGTTTATAAATCTGACTTTGTGAAACTTAAGTTTCTTCCTGGTGCTCTTAGGCTGACTGGGCTAGAACATGGGAAACAGACACAGGAATTAGACTAATCACTCTGTTTGCTGCTTATGATTTACATTTTCCGCAATGTTTCCTCTCTCTTTCTCTATTTATTTATTTTTGTGATATTAGGGTTTGAACTCAGCTTGCTAGGCAGGTGCTCTACCACTTGAGCCACCAAAAGGCCTGACTATATGCTAACAGTGTTGGAGATTTGTGGAGGGCAGAATATTCCCCTCTCCCCCAAAATGTCTACATTTTGGAACCTGTAAATATATTACCTTACATAGCAAAAGGACTTCTCAGATATAGTTAAGGATAAAGACCTTGAGATAGAGAGATTAGATAGGATCATTCAGGTGGGCCCAGTGTAATAACATGGGCTCTAAAAGCAGAGAAAACATCCTGGCTGTGGTCAGAAATGCAAAGTTACTAGCTTTGAGCCAGGCATAGGTGGCTCACACCTATAATCGTAGCTACTCAAGAGGTAGAGATCAGGAGCATTGTGGTTCAAAGCCAGCCTGGGCAAATAGTTCACAAGACTCCATCTCAAGAAAACTCTTCACAAAAAAGGACTGGTGGAGTGGCTCAAGGTGTAGGCCCTGAATTCAAACTGCAGTACTGCAAAAGAAAAAGAAAAAAAAGTTACTGGTTGGAGATGAAGGAAGGGACCACAAGCCAAGGAATGTGGGCAACATGTAGAGGGCAGAAAAGATAAAGAAATGGTCTCTACATCCTTTAAAAAGGAAGCAGCCCTACTGACTTTAGCCAGTGAGACCCATGTCAGAGTTCTGAACTACAGGGCTACAGGCAGTAAATATATCCTGCTTTATGCAACTGTATTTGTGGTAATTTGATATGATAATAAAAACTAACACAAGATCACTCAGAGGTCAGAGGTAAAGACAAATGAACCCACGGTGCTTTGGGGAGCACCAATACTTCAAAGGAGAGGAGAACAGGGGCCCAGGAGTCAAAAAAGGATGCCCTAAGTGGTGGGAGGGACAGAAAACATCAATGAAGGGAAGAGTTCCAAAGAGAAAGTGAACCAGAGAATTTAAACTGCTTACTATTTAAAGAGAGGGTGAGGAGGTTAAGCGATCTTTACATTTTAAAGTGCATGTTATTTTCTTCATTTTCTCCATGATGGTTCTAGCATTTGCATTTAACAAATAGCTTCTTTCACCATAAACTATCACCTTCTCCCTCACATTAAAAGCTGGATCACAATCTTGATCCACATTATAAACCCATCAAAGCAATATTCAGGTTCCAGAACAACAGGTTTTACCACATCATAAGCAGGAAAGCAATACAGCTATTTTAATGTTAATCCAAGTTATTTGACTCTGAAGGACAGACCAGAGTGAGAAGAGCTCCCAGGCTGGACTGACAGCTTGGGGTAGGGACAACTTTAGGGAAAATGCTTAGCAGATACTGTCAGTTCTGGCGCAACTTCCACTACCCAGGTCCCTGTTTAATCTTCAAGATGCCCAAAGTTTCATCCTGCCTTCCTGTGATCCTAATCTCTGTATTTAAAGGCTCCTCCCAGGCCTCCCTCACTAGTACTTAAGGTCCAAAATTATTGCTCTTTATTAAAGTGTTTACTCTCCACAGATGACCTCAGCTGCCACTTTGGAGAACAGAAAATAATTTCACCTAGGGGAGACTTGGTGGCTCTGACTATCCTAGAGGACATTTACATTCTAAAAGGCAATGTTTACAAATGGAAAGAACTTAACACTGAAAAAGTGGATTATATTCTTTAACTACAAATGTACTATTCACATCTGTCCTAACGCTTCATTCTCACATGAGGGCCATGGCACTTGACTTTTTTCTCTACCTGAACTATAAGAATTCAGAATCGTCATTTTCTTACAGGGGCTTTCCCAGGCTATGTTGGCTTTTATTATAGGCCCTCATAGCATACCTGGAGTTCTTGTGAAATGCTAACAACATCTTTAATTTCTTGTTTGGTGTTGTTGATTCAACCCTATGATTGTACTAAAAAACCACTGAACCGTACCCTTTAAATGGATGAACTAATATGATGAAATGTATCAGTAAAGCTGTTAAGAAATTTTAAAGTGGGGTAAAGAAATCATTGAATTTTTTTCTAAATGTTATGCATATGTTAGAAACCAGCCTCACAATCATTTTTATCAAAGCATAAAGAACAAAACACAGATTTCTGTCTTCTAGGACACTCTGTGTCCCAAGTTCATTCATTTTCCTTTGTGCCTGCAGAACTGACAATGGTTCAGTGCTGGAAATCCACTCCCGGTGAATCATGGACCTATAGGCTTCTTGCAATGTAGCACTTCAATTCTATAGTTATGTATTTTCTCTCCCTTAACAATAAACTGTCCTTCAAGCTTGATGAACAGCACAAAAGATTATTTCCTTTTCTTTCCTGCAGAGAGTTTAACTCCATTAAGGTCAGCTAAAACTCTCTGGATAAGGTTAGAGAAAGCAAGAGTGCCAGGATAGCTGAACCCTACATGTTAGATGCTGAGATTTTGGGCTCTTTATGTTCTCTCCCTTTTTGGGGAGCTTTTCGGATCTAAGACAAAAGACTAAGTTCCTCACCTCCAAAAGCAGCAGATAGGAAGAGATAAAGAAGCTTCCTGGAGTTTGGGGTTCCTTTCCCAGTTCTGGGGGCTCACAAACCTGGGTGCCCACCCACTCCTGAGCTATTTTATTTCCCTTCTTCATGATATGCAGGGCTTGGGTGAAGGCTCTGGAATGTCAAAAGGAAGAAATGAATACACAGGAAGTCTGGTTCATGAAGGATTCCAGAGGAAGAAAAACAGGTGAAAACTGCTAATCTATCAGGGAGTTCAGAGCAGGCAGTAAGGATACATCTTGAAATAAACAAACAACTGAATTAGAAAAATAAATAAAACTTAATTAAGTCCATTTATTTTCAAAGTCCTTGAGATATTAAAAAAAGACAATGGCAAAGTCTAGAGAGAGCACACACCGTATCTCTGAGTGTCAAAGTACTCCAGGGTAAAAAGCAATGGGGATTGAAAGGGGAGTCTCAACATTTTCTAGCTCCAGAAAGTCAGAGAGCCCAGATCACAGCCAGAACATCTTAATACTGGTTACAGATTCTTTATGAAGGTCTTTACCTGAGTGAAAGAGAAAAGCCAAAAGTTAAATTTCACATTTTCAGGAAACTATTCAATGTGTTACATATATACAGTTCCATGAGTTTTTATGAAGAAGGGAAAATAGGCCTGGAGAAAAAAATGTGGGCTGCCCAGGGTCATATAGCACCAGTGGCAGAGCTAAGAATAGAATCCAGAAGTCTCATTTCCCTAGTTTTATAATACCTTAAAGGAGGAAGTAATCTGGCAAGCACATATTACAAGTCAACTAGTCAACAATTATAAATCTAACATACTTTAGAGAATATGGATTATTATTTGTAACTTGGACAAGATCCCATAGGCTTTGGAGTGTAATATGCAATTTGAGAAACAAAACACAACACCCAATATAGTGAACTTTGAAGCAAAGACTAGAAAGAGAAAAGTACATCAGAGGAAAACCACTAGAAAGCAAGAGTTTAAGTCTTTCCCACCTTTCTCATGAATTCTTCTTGTTTGGTTACTTCTTTAGAAAAATCATCATTGACATTCAGCACCAGCACTGGAATGTTCAGCAAAGCTTCTAAATGGAGTCTGAAAGAACATTTGATGGACAGGAAAAACAAAATAGAAACCTAAGCCAAGTTTCACACACTCACTAAATCTTAATTGAGAGAACAGATCTCAATTCATGTGTCTACTCAATAAAATGGCATGTAAATAGCATTAACGACAAACTCAATAAAGTTGGCTGGAAAGAGGAAAGTTAAGATCTGAAGATCAGAGCTCTAAACATTTTAAGTGGAGGACAAGTAGAAACTTGGAATGTAAACTTAGTAAAATTGATGTCGTTCTAAAAATTTTTTAGCCCTCTGAGTTATCAAAAGTATAAATCACAATGTTCAACCTAGGGAAATATAAAAAAGAAAGAAAGAGAGAAAGCTGGAGAAGTAGAATCTAATAATAAAGTCTCTTGGAATGTACAGAATACTCTGTACATGAGTTGGAAAATGCTGGGTATTTCCAATGACTTCCTTATGGGGCTGCAGGTTGAACTTCTTGTTTTGGATAACCTGGATATAGGAAGAAGGTCTCTGTCTTAATTCCTTTCTCCACTTACTTTGTTGTCTTGTGAATAAGCCAGTCTTCATGCTGACTATGAAGCTGTTCAAGATAGGCCAGTTCAATTCCTTTCTCTTCCTCCCTGGCCCTCTGGTACAGTCTCTTCAAACAAACCTGAAAGACAAACCACAGGCCCACTCAGTTCATCTGCTGTTCTAGCCGTTACAATGCAGTCTTTGGAGAGGGCCCTGAAATCCCACATATTGACTGTACCTACCTTCCTACCTACCTTGGGCACCACAAGCCATGACCCTGCTCTGCTGCCTTGTTCTCTTATTCAATCAGAAAATTTATACCATTTTCTCCACTTCTCCCTTAAATATGCTCTTCTTCTGGAGTATGCTTAGCTGGCTAATGGCAAACACCATCCATCCAGTTAGCTATGTCAGGAGTCTGCAACTATTCTTTCTCTTCCCATCCACATCAGGAAGTCATGAAATTCTCTTTAATCTCTCCTCCCACATCTGCCCTGACTAGGCACTCATCACTTCTCACTTGGGCTCAAGTAAGAACATTTTGCCTTTTTGCAGAAGGAGGTGAAGAAGTACATGGAAAGGCCTTAAAGTAGGAAAATCCAAAGGTCAATTAGTCTTCATCATGTACAATCTTGGTGGGCTTCCATTCCCCCATCCTTTATCCACCCACAGGTTGCTGTGAGGATGCATTGAAGTAAGGCAAATCATAGTTGTTCTTCTGTCAGAACAGCTTCTGGCAAAAGCTGTTCTCTCCTTCCAGTTTCTCCCTCAATCCAGCCTTCCATAGTACTGCAATATAACATCATTACATTCTTGGCTTAAAATATTTTACTTTATAGGCTCCTTACTGGCTATAGCCTTAACTACAGGGTTCAAGAAAGTATGAATAGCATTATACACACACAAACACACCACCCCACCCCCACTCTCACCCCCACAAATACCCATCCACACACACATTTTTGAGACAGGGTCTCACTATGTAGTCCATGTTGGCCTCAAACTCACAATTCTTCTCAGTCTTGCAAATGCTAGGATTATAGGTATGGACCACTAAACCTGGCTTATAAGTGGCATTATATTTATAAAATGGTAATTTGAAACATCTCTTTCATATTCCAAGCACTCACTATAGAGCAGAATGCAATATCTGCAAGGTCAAATGTACACATCTATGAAATTACCACAATGAAACCCTCTTGTACTATTAATGTATGCTAATTTAAAAAATGAAGTATAAAAAAAGTGAGGCTTGACAGTAATTCCCTTCCCTCTCCTTTGTAGAATTCTATTCTATATCCATTTGCAGAAATTCTGTAGCTCAGTGGCTCAGTGTCACACAAGGCCCCTTTGCTACTTGTCCTCAACTCCCTTAGCTCCCTTTCAGGTCTCACTGCTTCAGCCAGATATGGTCTCCTTCCTGTAGGACAGGCCAAGCTTCTTCATACCTCAAAACCATTGCTCCAAATGTTTGTTTTACCTGAACTGCCCTTATTCCTCCCTGTATGGCAAAACATTTCATTATTCAATGTCATCTGTCCATATAGATGGATTAATCCACTGACTTAGGACTTCCCTCTTTTTTAAAAACTGTGAACTTTATCCCCAAATATGGTACACAATACTCCCAAAGACCTGAGGTCTTTGCTGTCTCCCTCTGCCTTTCCTTTCCTCTAAAGAAATGAAGCCATGTAAACAAATTTCCTTTAGGTCCTTATGTCTAGTTTTGATGACAAGATACAGGTCTCACAGGTTACTATTTTCAATCCTTACCTCTTCTCCTCTCTGCTTTTCCCCTAACCAATTAATAACTGTCCTTAACTTAGATACAGTTCTATCCTTGGAATTCTATAATTTAGACAATAAGCAAAACATATGCAAAACAGCAAATGAAGTGTCAAACCATAAGGTTTGTATCCTAAGTGCAGCATTTAGATAAGAGAGGGGCAACATGGGACTTATGGAAGAGGCAGGACACTCTCTAATTCCTACTTCTGCAAAACTCCCCCTTTACCAATGGCCCCAGCTTACAGAGCACCAAATCTGAGAACTGAGTGCTGGCTAGGCCCTGAGAAATGCAGGCCACCAGTGGTTTTTCAGATGAATCAAAAGACAGAGTGAGGTCTGTACAGGACACTAGGTGGGCATCATGGCTGGGGGATACTTGGGAGGCAGGGGCTTCATAGATATCATCTTGTTCAGGGCTGAGCACAGAATTTGGTTGAGTAGGTGGTCAATAAATATTTGCTGCATGTATTCATTTAACATTTTCATTTCCAATTTAATCTCACCATCTCCTCTTTCTCCTACTTTCGCCTTTTCTATTTTTACTTTCCTTCACTCTGACCCTACCTTTTTTTCTTTCTCCCTTTGTCTTTCTACCCCTGAATCCCCACCCTCACTGCTGATTGCTTTGAGATCTTTCCGCCTTATTCCTCTCCTTTCCTAATCACACAGCTTTTTCAATACCTCTAACTTCTAGCTACTCAGTTCTCCATCTCACCCATAACCAATGTAACTTTCTGTATACTTTAGGATATATGCATACACACATCCTTTCTCCATATTTTTTGAAAATGTATATAAAAGGTGTTGCACCATACACTCTATATTTATTGTCATACAGATTGTCACACATCAGTATACAAAGGACTTTCTTACTCTTTTTTATGGCTTCAGCACTTTCTAGTGTACAGTTGGAGCATAATATATTCAACAGGCCTCTACTGATTTAACACTTGGGTTGTTTCCAACACTTTGCAATTGCAAACAATGCTGCCTTGTAGACAGGCCATTTTGTCTGTGTATGAGCATATCTATGGAATAAATTGCAAACACCATGATTAACAGGCCAAAAAGTATGAGCACTTGCTACTATATACTGCCAAACTGCCTCCATAGAGGTTAACCAATTTGTATTCCCATCAGCAAGCAGCTTTAGGATTTTTTAAATAGCAAAAACTACCTAAGTTCCCTCTCTGAGAGAAAAATACCTTGTTTGAATAGTGAAAATGAATATATATATATATATATATTACAAATAGTCTTTATTTATTATTATTTCAGTGCTGGGGATTGAACCCAAGGCCTCAAGCATGCTAGGCAGGCACGTGAAAATTAATATTAAAAAAATATAGCCATATGTGAGAGCTGGAGGCATAGCTCAAGTGGTAGAGTACCTGCCTCACAAGCACAAAGCCCTAAGTTCAAACGCCAGTATCACAAATAAAACAAACAAAAAAAAATCCCCAAAACATGTTTTTAAGTATATATAAGGACAGAGAAATTCTTTTTGAAAAAAGCTATTTACAATTATTCACTCATTGCTTGCATACAAACACTGATGTTCACATTAAGCTATTAAAATAGGCTAACATTTCCCTTTTCACTATTAGTTAGCAGAGCAAACTCCCTGCCTGACCCCTCCTCCCCACGTCCCACCCACAACCTAAGTCTAGGTAAATTCCTATTTTGAGCATTTGGCATTAATTCTTACTTTACTGGCATGACTGTAATAAGTTCTTTTTTAAAAGATTCTATGAGGCCTGGGTCATAGATTAAGTGGTAGAGTACTTGCTTAGCAAGACTGAGGCCCTGAGCTTAAACCCTAGTAACACCAGGGGGCAGAAAAATAATTCCCATGAACTGAGATTTAGCTGGCCCCACTTCACCTTGGTCCTCATGGAGAAGACACAGATTCCTGAACCTGCCCTTACCCAGGAAGAAGAGCTGCTGGGGACACCCAGGAACTGGACTGTTACTATGCCTCCAATCCCCACCAGGTGCCTGTTGTTCCTATGCATCACACCCCCTGGAAAAAGGCAGCCCACTTCATCCTCTGCTCCCTTCAGCATTGTCTTCTTGGTGCCAAGCTGACTATGGTTAAGTTCTCTCTCTTGGAACAGGTTAGGTCAGCACTCTCCTTTCTCCTAATACCCAACTCTCAATTTCTGTTTCTTTCATTCTATCCATCTCACAACTTCCATGGGAAGCCTGTCACCAGTTCAAAGTCCAACCAAAATCTTCACTTCGTTTAACTCCACAGTACTTCACTCCTTAGGCCATCTCTCTCATCCAGAACCCCACTCTCAGCTACTCCACACTATCCACTTTGGCAGGCAACTCCTGTTTCTCCATTTACTGACACCAATCCCTGCTTCTGAAGTTTCCTCACCTTCATAATTTGCCTCTTCCATTCCCGCTTCCAAGCAATGAAGACCACTAAAAGAAGTCACATAAATGTGACCCATCTGGTCAAGTTGCAATTAATGCACCTAACTTCAGCTTGGTTCTGTTCATGGAAGGTTCTCAGCCCTCTAGACCCATGGACCCTTTAGTTCAGTTTTAACATCACTTGTTTATTCCCTCCTATGATCTAGAGTCATAATTTCTAGAAACTCCTAATACAAACTTTCCAATATCTGGTCCCAGTTACATTCGAAGGCCTCTCTCGGGCTGGTGAAGTGGCTCAAGCGGGTGAGCACCTGCCTAGCAAGTGTGAGGCTCTGAGTTCAAGCACCAGTACTGCCAAAAAAAAAAAAAAAAGAAACGAAGGCCTCTCTCATGGTTTCCTGAGGGAAGGCATTCTTTCCTTTTCTCTCCTTTTTGGCCTATGCAGGTCTAAATGACAGAGATTCTCTCACTTATTCTCTGACTCTGCTCAGCCTGTTCTCAGGCTTCCTCCTGTCCACAAGTCTTAGTCCCATCTCTGAAACACATGGCCTCTAGCCTGCAGACAGCTTTCCCCTCCTTCTAAGATTATGTGGTATACCTAGTAGTTGTAGATTTTATAGACAAAGACCCCTGTTCTGGAAAGCTTTTTAGGGGCTGCTTAAAGTCACTGCCAGTCAGCAGAAGCCAAAAACCAATACTGTCTCCAGAGGCTTCAGTTTCCTGCCATGACATCCTGTGTATCAAGCTGGCTCCAAAGTCCAAGTCAGAAAGCCACAGAGTGCACTTCTGTACTACCATCCTGCCTTTTACAGTGGCCTTCTCAAGGTTCAAAAAGGGGCTATAAATTAGGGCAGTACCAGGATGGTACTGAGCCTCTCCTTTCCCACATCCTAGTTCTGAATATCAACAAGACTACTACAACCCCTGTTGACCCTGCCAAGAGAAGGAAAAGCTGAGACCACTGACTACAAGTCAGTGTCTGAGCTGCAAACCTGGAGCAATAGAGTCAATGCTCAATTTGTTCTGGTTTGTTGCTATTCTAAGAGGGACCCTTCTATGCAGTTGATTGCTTGAGAATGCTGCTGTACAAGGCCTGTGGGAAACAGGGCTCTCAGTATTAGAATAGATGGTGTCCACCAGATGCTCTTTGTGTTGTGGATGATGCCTGAGCTCTAACTGCTCCAACAGGAAAATCAAAGGCTTGCAGAATGCCACCTCCTAGGTTTCATATGGCCCTAAAGTCTAAGGTTTTGGTTCAGAGTTACCTGGGGAGAAGCCTGGAGATAGATGAAGCCATGTATTGAGAGCCGGCTGGCAAATTCCCGCAGGAGGAAAGAATGCCAGTCCTGATAGATGTGCCATTCAACGTCACTGAGGGAACCATTTTCAAAAAGATTCTTTGCAAAGATATACCTGGTTGGAAATGGAAGTGGGATGGGAAGGGTTGGGGTGGGGAAGAATGGGAATGAAAGGCACAGAAAGAAGCAGAAAAATCAATAACCAACTTGTTCTGTCTGTCCAAACCACTTAACTTTGGAGCTCCTTATCAATCTTGGGAAACCTGAATTCTTAACACACATCTTCCCTACTCAACACTGCAATGGTAAACAGCACCTAGATGTAGAAACTGAAGCCAGGGCTTTCCAAATGAGTAATTTACTCTAAGAAAAGGGACACTAGCAGAGGAACTCACTGGTCTCTGACAATTTTATCTGCTAGAAACTGGTTGGAACATACAGCAGAGGGTATGTGTGTAAACTTGACTTAAGGTCCCAAAGAAAAACCAAATGATTCTAGGATAAAGCCACCTATTACATACCATTTAAGGACTGATGGCTTCTGAGTCTTCAACTGTGGAGCCATTCTTTTGTCTAGGTGAGAAGTGAAGGGAGCCATTTTTATGTGGTATCATTTATGGAGCAGGAAATCCATTTGGTTCTGACTTCAGTATTACCAAGAAAGTAGACTCTCCTTCAAAGTACATATGAGCTTTTGCTGGCTTGCTTCCTCTGTTGTTGAGCGTTTTAGTTAGATAGATAACAGAAAACTAAAGCTGAAAAATCAAACTAGCTTCGTTCCTTGCTTACTTTCACAACAAAAGGAGGATCTGGTAAATTAGGAAATTGGAGCTAAACAGAAACCACAGCTTTAGAAAGGTCAATTCTGCTTTCAACCCTCTGTCATCTTGATATAAAACACAATTTACATCCTCAACAATGAATTTCAGTTTCTAAGGCAACACTCAGTAACTGGCCATGTCTGGGAAAATGAAATTCAGAATCCTTGTGTATGAATGGCTCAGGCAAGTACAAACTGCAAAGCTGTGAGTGTCACCCTTACAAAAATAAATTTCACAGGAACTCTCCCAGGTCTGATCCTGGTTGCAGCATTCACTAGCCATGCCACCTTGGGAAGTCACCTAAATTCTTCCAGTTCACTGTTGTGATGACTGCATATTATAATCATAAAATGCTTACAAGAGTGAATGGCATATACTATTCAATAGATCTCAATTATTATTACAGTTGCCTTGTGTTAGGCTATAAAGAAGCTAATTTGGAAACTCCAAAAGTAAACTCTCCTAGCTGGAATGATTTAGCTAATCTAGCTGAAGGCAACAAGAAAAAAAGGGACTTTTGTAATTCAAGTTCTAAAAAATGTTTTCCACTTCTCCACAGATAACTAGAAGATGAAATTTAGATCTTACTTTGTTTTATTTTTTGTTTTTGAGGCAATTCCTATGTAGCCCACACTGGCCTCAAACCGTCGATCCTCCTGCTTCAGCCCCACCAATGCTGGGATTACAGGTGTGTAGCATAATACCTTGTGAAGTTTAGATCTTATAAGGAAAAATTAATAAGCCCTATAAAAGGGGCCCTTTCCTCTCCTGAGGATGAGCACTTCTGTTATTTCTCCAAAACTACTGGTGATGGATAAGAGGGGGTAGACAGGTAAGGTGCTTCCTGAGTGTGATGACATATACCTGTAATCCCAGCACTTAGGAGGCCAAGGCAGAAAGATTATGTGTTCCAGGTCAGCCTGGGCTGCATAGCTAGACCATCTCAAAACACACATACAAAAAAAAAATTAAAAAAAGAAAGGCTCAGATGCTGAGTACTGAGGGAAGGCCTGCAGACAGAATGCAGGGGCTTTGGATAGGTACAGGGCTTAAGGACTTAGCAGTTGGGAGCTCTGTTCTAAAACCACATGCTTGTGTTTCCTTTAACTCAGTCAAGAGACTTAAATTTCTTCCTCCCTGTAATCCACTCTACCAAATAACCTATGCCCCTCCTTTGGAACACACATCACACATGTGACCATATATATATCCAGTCCCTTTTGGAATAGTATCCTTATGGAGGCAGGGACTGGGTCTGCCTTCTTCTCTGCTGTAGCCCCAGGGCCAGGCCTGGTATCTGAGCATAGGAGGAACTCAGTAAGTCTGTACTAAGCAAATGAATAAAGGAAAGATATTTGTGTGTGTGTGTGTGTGTGTGTGTGTGTGTTGGGACTTGAACCCAGGGCTTTGTGGATGCTAAGCCCTACATTCTACCACTGAGCCACAGTCCCAGCATCTGGAATTTTAATTTTTAAAAGAATGGAAAGGCTCTAAATACCCTCAGGATTAGAATTTATAATTATCCTTTCTGTCTCAAAATGCTCCCTTTAATGTGCCTACAATGTTGTAGCTGTCCACAGTGTGACCGATTCTTACCTCTTCCTTTATAAGTAAATGTTAAGATCCAAGTAGCTTCTTAACAAAGCATTTCTAATTGACAAAGCAATTTCATTTCTCTGTTTCCTCTGAGAGGTCTCTCACATGCTTACATCACTATGAGACTAGAACTCAAAAGACTAACTGTGAATGTTTCCAAGCAACCCAAGTGATTGTATGTAATTCAACATCCTAGTCTGAGAGGCATGGCTTGGGAGAGGACAGGAAGACAGGTATTAGTACACCTGACAGTGGAAAAAGAACTAAAACCGAAAGCACAGCCATTTGTAATTCACACGTTTAGCTTTTCTAAAGAGTAGGTTCCTATTGGGCCTACAAAGAAGGAATCTGTGGCCTGCAGAGTTTCTTTCATGGACCTTGCATGATTCTGAGGTGAAGTCAGAACAATCACATGCCATTCACAAATGAACCCTTACTTTTTGTTCCAGGAGGCTTTATGAAAGTACTAAGAGGTATAACTAGCTTATTTAATTTGGAATTAAGTGGGTTACCAACTAAGTAACTTCAGCAGTGAACGGCCAATGAAAATGCAGCATTTTTCTGTACGGATAAATCAATGGAGCTTAAGACAGATGATTTTTCTTGAAAGTACAATTTCTTAGACAAAAGTAATTCAGACACAAACCTCAGCAGTGTCCAGATCAAGCCACCCCAACTTTGTCTCTAGGTGGCCTAACCCTAAGTCACAGTCTGGTCTCTGGCAGAACAGAGCCAAAATTCCAAAGCCTGAATAAGCTACCACTTCTGAAACAGGCTCACTTCTCAGGCTACCTGTTAGTCTTTATTAAAAGTGACTTCACATCTCACTCCCTCAGGTGGTTAAGATGATACCCTTCCTCTGAAGTGACATAGATACTATGTGTCCATTCCAGATTCTGGCTGGTAAGCTCTGTCACATAAGAAGGGGTTAAAAAAAAAAAAAAAGGCTAAATTGGACATAAAAGCCAATTTCAGAGATGTGTGATTTCTGAATAGACATCTTTTCCTGAAGAATAAAAAAGGATGAACATATCTCTTTTATGAGTTTTTTTGGTGATACTGGGGTTTGAACTCAGTGTTTCATGCTTCCTAGGCAGGGGCTCTACCACTTGAGCCACTCTGCTAGTCTTTTTTTGTGTTGGGTATTTTTGAGATAGGGTCTCAAGAACTATTTGTCTGCTGGCTTCAAACTGTGATTCTTCTGATCTCTGCCTCCTGACTTGCTAGTCTTTAGCTGTAATCCTTTACAGGCATGAGTCACCAGTGCTTGACTCTTTCATGATTTTAAGAACACAAGTTTTAATTCCATCTATTTTTTCCTTAAAGGTGATAAACAACCACTGATTGAATCATTTTCCTAGAACAGACACTGCTACCTAAGTGTCCATTTTGCGCCATTAAGCATGCAATGTTATATTAAGTAACTACTATATTGCCTCTATGCTGGGAAATAAGGAAAGATGAGGTAATCAGTGGCACTGTGGAAAATTCAATGCATTTGGCTTATGAAAAACACAATCTCCTTTCTCGACATATGATTCAACAGAATTACAACTCTGGACAAGTCTGTATGGACAAATACAGGGCCTGTGCAAGAAAAAGAAAACACACAGAACTGAGCACGAGGCTGTGGCTGACAAAAGGCTTGGCATCTTACCTGTCACTGTACACAGACCTCTCAAAGATCTGTATGGGCTTCTTGGCCTGTAAAAGTTTCTCAGGGAAGGGCTCCAGCTGTACTTTCAGGCGGCTCATAAAGGAAAATGTCTGGAATGTGTAAGACCATCGCATTGGCTCTCGGTACATCATGTCCAGCAAGTTTCCAAGATTTGGGGTAGTGCCATCCTAGAGGGGATTACAAAAGTAGATAATTTCCTAGAAGGTGTACTTATTCTACAATATATACGCACTCTCTGCCCTTCCCCAAGAAGGTTTAATAATGCAAGAAGAAATTATAAAGACTGGTGGCGTGACTCAAGCGGTAGAGCACTTGCTTAGCAAATATAAGGCCCTGAGTCCAATCACCAGTATCATAATAAAAGAAGGAATTATAAAAAGTTTTCTTCCACTAAAAAAATACAACCAAATCCTCCAGCTCAACTGAAACATAGAGATTTTCCTACCTTATTAGATAAGAATCTGATAGAAGATGACATGCCACTTTCAATATAACAGAGAAGAACAAAGTAAAACCCATCTATAGAATTCACACATTCACTGATTGTTGGATATGTAGAGTCTGTTTGGGAAGGATTTAATAATTAACAGCCATCTAAAATTTTACTTTTAATGAAATCCTTCCACTGCAACATAATGTCCACTTTCTTTTGAGATTCCATCTGTGGCTATTTCTTTTTAAAACTTTAAGGCAGATAAGAAAACAATTGCTATGGACTGGCAGAGTGGCTCAATTGGTAGAATGCCTGCCCAGCAAATGTGAGGTCCTGAGCTCAAACCCCAGTACTGACAAAAATAAATAATTTAATGAAAGAACGCAATTGCTTATTATTGAAAGTCCAACTGACCAAACCAAATGAATTCTTTACCTTTCATAAAAAGGTTGTACATTGTTAAAACAAACAAAACCAAAAATAAGCCTGGACTCTTTTCAGGGATCTGTCATTGATTCAATGCAAAGTGAATTTTGTGCAAAGCACTTTGGATCTGCATTTATTCATTCAATCACCATTAACTGAAGGCCTGTGTGGATGAAGTACTACATGATCTAGGTGCTGTAAGGGTTATAAAAAAAAGGAAGTAATGTTTATTTCAATGCTTATTATATTCTCATTTAATCTTCAAAACAGTTTCTTGAGGTGGGTAATATTGTTATGAACATTTTTCAGAGAGGTGAATCCACTCAGAGGTTAAGTAACTTAATTGTTCAAGGTCTTCTGCGGAGTAAGTGAATGGGGGTGAATGGGGACTCAAATATGGTTTCCTCTAACCTCTTCTTTCTAATGCCTCTCCTATAAAGGTGAATAAGACATAGCTGCTGAACTCAAGGAGCTCACAATGGGAATGGAGAAGGATGATTAGGTTATAAGGAGCTAGAATATAAGGCAGGAAATGTGATGAATGGGCAATTGTATATAGTTGAGGGAATCTCAGGATTCTGGAAAAAAGTGGCATTCCACTGGGAAATAATGATGAGTGAAATGTTCACAGACAGAAATGGGTACTAAGAAGAGAGTATTTCAGGTGGAGACAACGCTATAGGAGTGGAATAAAGATTAGGTAACAAGAAGTAGTCCAAGCTGGCTAAACAGTACAATTAGTACTTTGAAAGGTTCAGCAGAAACAATACTTATAGAAGCCAAGTGGATCAGAAAACCATTTACCTCTGAGGTGTGTTCAGGGTTTCCCTTCTTCTAATCTCCCAATACAATATGCACCAACCTCACAAATGGACCCTAACTAAGGGCTGAAGGTGGAAACGGGGACAAACTTGAGTCTGTTTGATGGGTATCATTAGAGATAGTGGGAACAATCCATGGTTTGTCATATATTCGCAGACTGCATGATGGGGTGGGAAGGCATGCTGACAGATGTTGTAGGACTGGGTGAGAACTACTGCATGAGAAGGCTTTGGACTGCCAAAAAGACTGCTCTGGAACAAAACCATACAGCAGCCTACACAATTTCTAAAAGAACCCATCTCAGCAATAGAATAAGTAACAAAAGGACAATAATTGAATATAAAAATTATGGAGGGCTGGAGCTGAGGCTCAAGATATAGTATCTGACTAACAAGCATAAGGTGCTAAGTTCCAAACTTCAGTACTGTCAACAACAACAAAATAATAATAATATTTGCTTAAAAATATTCTGCTGGTCTTGGAGGCATGGTTCAAATGGCAGAGCTCCTGCTTAGCAATCATGAAGCCCTGAGTTTAAGCCCCAGTATTGCCAAAAATAAAAATTAAAAAAAAAAAAAATTCTGCAATTAAGCTGGGTTTGGTACTGCACACCTGAAATCCCAGCACCCAGGCAAGAGGATTGAGAGTTCAAGGCCAGCCTGAGTTACACAGTGAGACCCTGTCTCAAAACAAAACCCCAAAACAAAAACAAGGACAGGGGATATAGCTCAGTGCTACAGCACTTGCCTAGCATGCAAAAGACCCTGGGTTTGATTCCCAGGCACTGTGCAAAAATAAATAAAAGAATACTATGAAAAGAACATTATTGAAAGGAAAAAAACGCAACTGCCAGAAAAAAAAAAAATCCCATAAGGACAGCAGCTACAGGCTGTATATTGCAGTAAGCCCAATTGGTGAATTAGAAATCCATACTGAATTATCAGTTGAGCTGAAGTTGTGGCTTAACTGGTAAAGTATGAGACTCTGAGTACAAACTCCAGTACTGCAAAAAACAAAAAGAAAAAAATTCTCCTTAAACTAAGAGTAAAAAAAAAAAAAAAAGCAGAAAAATAAAAGGAAAAAAAAATACATGATAGAAGGAAGAATACATGATAATTGCTCTAAGGGCATTTTTGCTGCTTCTCTATTGCCTCTGGAAAGGCACATCAAGATGGGATGTCACCTCTGTTCCAACTCACAGCAGCTAAGATAATTTTGTATCAAACAACTTTCCAAACAGACCCAAATAATTTGCAACTTCAATGTAGTTACCCCTCTATACTATGGTTCTGCATTTGCAGATCTAAAATATTTTAAAAACAAAAAATTACCCTGTACTGAACATAATACACACATGCAAACATAGACACATGTGCGTGTGTGCGTATATGCACACATACAAACTTTTTCTTGTCTTTTTTTTTTTTGGCAGGTGGGGTCAAGTCTCACTATGTAGCCCAGGCTGGCCTGGAACTCTCAATACTTCTGTCACAGCCTTCTGAGTGCTAGGATTACAAGCCTACACTCCCATGCCTAGCTTCTTGTCTTTATTCTTTAATATAGGTCAACAATTATTTACATAGTATTTACAAAATATTAGGTATTACAAGCAATCTTGAGATGACTTAAACTATACCAGAGGATGCCCTAGAGCCAGTCCCCGGCAGTTATTGAGGGATGACTGAACTCCTTACTCAAAGCTACCTAATGAAGAGAAACAGTTTCTGTTCTTAGGAGACAAAAAGTCCATCAGGCTGAATGAGGTGGCTCATACCTGTAATCCCAGCTACTTGGAGGCAGAGATCAAGAGGATCACAGTTTGAGGCCAGCCCAGTCATCCCAACCAATAAAAGCTGGACTTGGCAGTGCATGCCTGTCATCCCAACTATATGGGAAGCTCAAATGGGAGAATCAGGGGTCCAGGCTGGCCTGGGCATAAACATGAGACCCTATCTCAAAAAAGTAACCTAAGTTTAAAACGGGAGTTCATCACATGGCAGCTGACTCCCCCCCAGAGCGAGACAGAAGCTGCATGTCTTCCAGAACCTAAAAAGTCCCAAAGTCCAGCCCTTATTCATGGGAAGGAGAATTAAGTGCCAGATTTTGAAGGGAAGAGTATGAAACAACTCATGGACATGTTTTGAAATCCTGACAGGATGACTATGACACATGCAGAAAAATATATAAGACATATAAAAAGACAGCATAAACAAAAGTCTTCTTTTGTCTGCCACAAAAGGTAATAAAATTCTGGGTTGGAATAAAAGAAAAATGGCACCCAGAACAAGTTCTTTGCTGCTCTATATCATTTAGACCATATCTGAAATGTCCTGTTCAGCTCTGAGTACCATACTTAGTAAATTTTAAGTGCAAAATGAACTGGACCTCACCACTTAGACAAAGTTACTTCAGAATGAAGAACAGCCTGGAGGAAAACTGGAAGTCTTTGGTTTCAAAGAAATAAGAATTGAGGAGTAGAGAAAGAGTAGGCCATCATTGCCTTCAACTGTACACAGGGTTGCCATTTAGAAAAGCTAAAAGACTTAAAAGAGGTAGAAGTTGAAGTAATGAATCTGAGTCCTGGGGCTTCAATGTGACTCAACACAAGGAAGAACTGCATAACAATTAGAGTTGGTAAAAACCAGAATGAACCAGTCAGTAAATGTTCTAAGTGTTTTCAGGAGGAGTTCATGGAGCCTGAGAGGGCTGCCACTCCTTCAGCAACTCTAAGCTTCAACGGTCATTCCCTACTCATTCTGATATATCTGGTGTTGAAACCAATCCTCTGGCCTTTGCCAAAGCAGTAGCCCTGACATTGGAGCCTGAGCTGTGAGGTATAAGTGAAACACACAGTGCTTGGCATGGTATAGTGCCTGGCACATAGAAAGTGTTTTATAAATGTTAGTTGTTAGCTCTACATGGACTCAAAGTGTGACAAGATTCTGTATAAAGTCCCTTTCAATTCCTAAGACTTTACCATTAACTATTAATTCTGATGGTCAGCTTTAATAATATAAATAATATAAATACTTATGGGTGGGAATGAACAAAATTCATCTTCAGGGCCAGGGTGATTTGGATATGCTTTGGGAAACCACAAAGAAAAGAGGCAGGCACTTAAACAGACATACAAAAACCTCAAAAATAAAAACTAAACATATTCAAATAAGTCATATCCTCTCTGGTGTATATGTGGCCTACTTTTTGGAATTAAGCTATTTAAAAAAAAAAAAGAGACAAGCTGGGCTACTTCATCTTCTCAGGGAAAACTAAATTATTAAATTAGATTACTCACCCATGCCTGCCAACTATCCACCACAACTGAAAACTTACTTTTTGGGTGCCAGCAGCCTGGATATTCTGCCATGTTGCTACAGGTTCTGTAGCTATGTGCCACTCTGGGTAAGTTTTCGTGAGTAACTTCACAAAGGTGGACTTCCCCACAGCTGCAATGCAAACAGCATGTGTTGGGATACTTCCCAAAGC